TATTCATCCCAAAAGATGTTCTGTAGTTAAAAAAAGGTAATGAGTTAATTTACCATAGCACCAATCACATTTTAATTTTCTTTAAACAGGTTAAAAAGGAGATGGTGGAGACTTTGCCACCATTTAAGTATTCTGTTCCCCAATCCTTTTATTTAGGATTAGTCTCATACACAAATTATTCTTGCCTGAATCAGTTATTTTATTGGTTTTGAAAAATAATGTTTTTCTACTTTTATCATTTCTTCTACATTTATTTTTTTTCTTCTATGCTTATTAATTGTATTATCCTATACAGGAAAGCTTTCTTTCATTAATTAGGAATTAACTACAATTTTGACTTAAAAAAGCAAGATGAATGCTTGATTCTTTTGCTTTAATTACCAGTTTTCAGAGTAAGAAGCTAATACAATGGTCATCTACAATGGTGAGAAAATTTATCACCCCTCTCCCTCCCTTTTTTGTTTCGAGTACCATTATGGCTTTATATAATTGAGGTACAACTGACATACCATAAGACGTATTCATGTAAGTATAGAATGATTTTTAGCACATTTATAAAGTTGCACTGTTATCACAATCCAATTTTAGAACATTTTCATCACCTCACAGAGTTATTTGCTTATAGTCAATCCCTGCTCCCATCTCCAGCACCAGGCAACCACTGATCTGCTTTCTGTCTCTTCAGATTTGCCTTTACTGGAAATTTCATAGAAAGGGAACCAAACAATATGTAGTCTTTTGTGTCTGGCTTCTTTCGCTTAATGTAATGTTTTTGGAGTTTATCCATATTTAGCATATTTCAGTAGTTTGTTCCTTTTTATTGCTGAACAGTACTATTGTATGTATATGCCTTATTTTGTTTGTCCATTCACCAATTGATGGGCATTTGGATTGTTTCCGGTTTTTGGCTATATGAATAATGCTGCTTTGAGCATTCACCTACAGGTCTTTGCACATAACTTTTTATTTCTCTTGGATAGATACCTAGGAATGGTATTGCTGAGTCTTATGGTAAATATATGTCAAACTTTTTAGGAAACTGCCAAACTGTTTTTTAAAAATATTTGTGGGGCTTGGCCGGCCCGGTGGCGCACTGCTATAGTGCGCCGCTTGGGAAGCGCGGC